ATCTTGAGCCTTCCCATCACCATTCCTTTCCTGCATTTGGAACAATCACAATGGAGAAGTTTAGATGAAGAGTCTGTAATATATCTCTTAATATTGGAAGTAACAAAAATTAACACAGACATTGGAATAATATAGATAAGCCATAATATATCACAAATTGAAGATTTTATAAGTATTAAACGTATGTGATTGTTGCATCTGTTACAGTTGACTAGTTATCATTTAGGATTGCATCTTATTGAGCAAAACGGAGGGGAAATATAAAGGAAGTAAAAACTATACAGCATGTGCAGTGTAGCAGAGAGCATATCGATATTATGCTCTGCTGTAAACACTGCAACCAACCGATCATGATAGATTGTCATGAATGCAATGTTAGATATATAAACAGAGAAGTTAATAATGCCAACCTTCTTACGTCCATTTTCTAGTATTGCATTGCACCTCATTCTAGTGCCAAGGATATGTAGCAGCATATAACAAATGAAGGTTCAGAGCATAGCTAAATTAATCCTTGCTGGGATATTTAACAACAATTTCATAATATTTGTAAAACCATGTATCTCTTGATTTGAAGAACAGTGATAGATATGTTCCAATGGGAGTTAAGAAACAAATAGCAGAATGAAATCATAGAACCATTAGACTTCCATGCTTCTCAGTGACACTTTCTAGAATCATTTGTTACAAAAAAAAAAAAAGTGCAAAGCAGGGGCTGGTTTTACACACCACCTGCAGTTCACAACCGTAATTGTAGCTACCACAACTGAAACTGCGGTCAATGTCACATCTACCCAGCCGCAGTTGGCTGCAATTTCTATAATCGCAGCGTAACCACAACCGAAAATTAAAACCAAAGATGACCACCACTGAAGACATGATGATAAATCCATATATGTAGGGGGCCGGGTATAGGACTTGTTTATTTATACCAACACTAAAAACACTTTTTCCACTACCAATACCAACTCGTAATCTTATAAGACAACACTAATGGGAAGACAAAGAATGGATATATAAAAAAGGAAAAATTACAAAAAATACGAAGAAGTACCATATCATTAGCAGCAAGGGTGCTACCATTGTTGGCAGCAAACCTCCAAGTCAGTGTAGTCGCCAGCTTCGCCTCGAAGACTTTCCCAAGCAAATCAATCCAGAACACTGCCCCCTCTCCAGATCTACCCTGGAGAGACTGTCAGAACATAAAAGCCTCCCTGTCCACAACGGAATCCAAATCAGAAATCAATCACGAATCTCAAAAAAGTAATCGAACAAAAATCGTAAATGCAAATTTCATCAAGTTAAACTAAAAGTACTAACAATAAGAATAAGAACAACAAACACGGTGACCTAAACAAAGCACTATAAAACAAAGCACGCAATTAAATCGCTTAAAACTGAATCGCGCGTCAGTCAACGAAAAAGTCAAACCGGAATGCATGAAACGCAGAAAACGAAGAATCGAAGTTTGATATAAAATTTAAAAATGCGAAGAGGTGAGAGGAAGACCTTCAGAGACTGAGAAGCGAAACGGGCGAGTGAGTGTGACGCATCAATTGGTTTCGTTTCGTTAGTGAGTGGTAGTGGAAAAGGAAAAAGGTGATGACGCTAGATTTGATTTGAGGCTTCGTTAAGAAAACAGTGTGCGTTGTGTTTTTTGGGTTTTAAGTGTGCGCGTTGAGTTTTAATTGTTGATTTTTCATGACCGTGACGGTGTGTGAGGGAAGACTGAAGAGGCTCTGCGAGTTTTCATATCACAGACATGATACCACCGACAACTGCTCCAAGCTCATAGCCTCCTAGTTTAACGGCTAGGCTTAGCTTAACACTCGCTTGAGCCAACAGTTTGGAATCACGTGGTGACGTGGAAATATATTCTTTTTCTGTACATTTATCGTATTGAGTAATATGTTATCATTTTTCTTTTGAATGGTTTTCCTTTTACAAAGTGATGTACGTGTCTTTTTCTACTTTGAGGCATGTATTTTAGATTTTTATATTAAATGAAGTTATCGTTTTTTATGTCTAATTGAAGTTATTAATTTTTATTCAACTTTTTGTTTAAGGAAGATCTTTAATTTTTTATTCATATATATAATTTTGTCGTGGATTAATTTTTATTTCTTAATTTTAAGTGAATATATTAAATAAAATTGTTATGACCTATTATTACAAAAAAAAAATGAACTTTTAGTTTATATAAAACAATTCTTTTTTAATTTAATCTTTATATGTAAAAAAATGTGTGTATTAGTCTTTATAAAAAAAATTATTTTAAATTTTTTTAATATTGTTATAATAACATTTTCATATCAATATCAAATGATATTTTTTTATTATTTTTAAATGAATATTTTATATTTTAAATAAATCTTATATCTTATTTTATAATTTTTATATCTTGTTTCATAGATTGATTCATTTTTACATGAGTATCATCACATTCTCATTTATAATATTACAACTTGTCTATTTGATTATATTATCGTTATAATGTACATCCCTTTATTTATAATCTTTATCTCAAATGTTTTAAATATTGATAATGTTTTCTTATTTCATATTAAAAGTCAATAATTTTATTTATTTATATCTTTAATATATTTATAAGAAAATTAAAAGTATTTTTAGATCATTATTATTATCATATTAAAAATATTAAAAGTAAAATCTAGGACAAAGAGATGTTATATAATATAATAAGTTAAATTTTATAAATTATAAATGTACGAAGCAGAATATGAAAATAAAATTTTTTTAGGATAATTTAAAATACTCCTCTCAAAATAATTTAAAAAAACATCACTTTAATGTCAATATAAAAATGTTATACTTATGTCTTCATTTTGTGAAGACAATATGTCAAAAAAGTAGAAAAATGAAAAAGTACAAAAAGAAAAAAAAAACTTTGAGATAAATCTAAATTAATCTTAATTTGAGTTTTGGTAGAGTCCAAAATAGAATAACATAGAATCTACTGAAAAAAGATAGATTTAAAAATTATATATATTTAATGAAAATAAAATTTTGTATAAAGATTGGTATATAATTTTGTCTACTTATAAATACTAAATAAATAAAATATCATATATAAAAACTAAAAAATAATTTAAATCTGTCATATTTAGATAATTATTTATTAACTAAGAGATAGGGCTAATATTATTATAACATACTATAAATAAAATAATTTTGTTCTAAAATTTAATATATAAATTTTTTATATATAAATATTAAATTAAAGAAATAGTATCATATAAGAACTAAAATCTCATTTATCTTTTAAAAAATAATAAATATTGATCAAACAAGAATGGTAAAAATATATATGCATGTATATATGCACCCAAATTTTAGAGTGCGTGGTGTACGTATTATCTAACATTCACGTTTTTTTTTTCAAAAAAAATTATATTAGATTCGACGTATTATTCCTAACATCTCTAGTTCTTTGAAAAGATCTATATTTTTTAATGCGGCTTGCGTAATACCGTTAATATACATTAACTGACGAAGCAATTAATTAATGTATACAATAAATAATGTTTGCCCAATAACTTTTTTTTTCAAATACGCGAGCCAATTACCACTTTAATTAATGTCCAAGAAGGTTTGGCTACATTAAAGATTCATATGCACTTCGGAATTTTCCTTATTATACCTCACTTTATGAAATCAAGAATAAAACACAAGCAAACATTATATATTTTCACCGGTTAGACAACAAGGTAAATTAAACAGTATATGATGATTTTTTTTAGTATTATCGTGTTTTAACTTCTCAATATTAGATTAGGATTCAGTGCAGTTGACACGATAACTGCACCGTATATTTAGATAAAATTTTATATTTTCATATAAAATTTTTTTATTAACTTAAACAAAAATACAAAATAATGTAACGGACGATATAATTACAGGACCGAATCTAAATCCCTAACATTGCATGCGTTAACAGCACTAAAAGATTTATTATTGATCGAGAAGTTCTACTCGTGCTTTTGGCTTTTGTGCACATTTTAGAAAAAAATAATGCAAAATTAAACTTATAAATGTTAATCTAAAACACAATTAAATTGTTCAGGCGCAATAATTAACGAAAACTCAACGTATTCGTTACACATACCCACATGGTATTGATTTGAACTGAGTCGATTGCAGCCAAGCCAAAGTCTTAATCAAAAAGTAAAAGGGCATCTCAATTATCCCAAGTTTTTTTGTGCTTAGTTGGCGAAAGTATATATATGTTAATGGAATCCTTCGATTTTTCAAAGGTGATAATGAAGACGTATAAGAATAGTCTTATTATAAGCTGTGAGAGTAGGACAGTGAAGTGAAAGACAAGCTGTTAGAGCACCTTTAATGGCAATATTAAGCTATTTGTTCAAACCATATTATTATATTATTTAAATTTATGACCACACCAGCTGGAATGGCAACTGGCAAGATATGAGGTTGGACTATCATGTAATAAAATCCACGTGGGTCATGTTATTTGCACTTGCGCCCCTGTAAGCATTTGCTGTTATCACAGTTCAATTATTGAGCCTCTAAGACCATTTTTAATTAAACTGCTACCATTTTATAAAAAAATTATAGTTTTTTTCTCTTACTTTTTTAGTAAAAAGAAGAAAAAAAAAAAACTTACTCGTTTTAACATATAAAACAAACCAGAACATTAAAATTGCAAGGACCTATAATCGAATGACATTATGTATTATGGTTTATGATACATTTATAAAATAAATTTCGGATTGAAATACATGTAACAGATACGGACAGAGAAACAGAGTAACAGATATGGACAATAGTCCCCTATTTTTTCTGGTCCATGCAATAGGCCTTTTAGATGGGCCGTGGTTGTGGTTGGGTGGCCCAAATGAGGAATGAGAGCCCAAACAATGTGACATGAAATTCTCGATCACCTTGAAGCCACGTGTGAGGGGTATTATCGGGATAGCGATGACCAAATCTTAATGTTACCAACCGCTGAGGAAAGGAGACCCAGTGGGTATTAGAAGAGGGTTTCCTCTGGGAACAGAACAAAAGGCGCACACAACACAATCTCAATCGTCACAAAGTCTCAACCCAACCCAACCCAAAAGAAAAATACAAAGAAGCCCTAGAAATGTTTTAGAAGCAGTTTCTCACTCCCCCAAATCCCAACCTCTTTTCTTTATGATTGTTTTGGATAATACTTTTGCTCATACTCGATTTTAATTTCGCTTATTTGTTTTTTTCTCTTTTGGATATTTTTTTCTGCTTCGGTGTTTTCAGGAAATAAGGGATAGGAGTAATAAAAGAGAGTGCATTGGTTTTCGTCGTTCGGTTCGCGCGACTCTAATATTCGATGCCTCTTTGTTTCTTTTCCTCTCGCGCTCGCCTTTCTCTTCTCAAATTAGGGTTTCCGTAAGCCAACGTCGTTCTCGATTCTTCACAAACTATCATCATTGTGAGTATTTTTCTCTTCTACTTCTCTCTCTCTCGGTAAATCAATATTTATTTTTAGGTGTAAATTGTTTTTATTCCGCTATTAGTTTTTATTTTGATATTTGCATGTTTCTCTGGATCTTGCCGTTGTCAATTTGAGGTTCACTTCCCTTTCGTGACGGAAATCTCTCGTCGAGGTTGTGGTTTTGACAGAATTTGTGTGCGTTAGCTTTCTTTTCACGTGGAGTTAGGTTTACTGTGATTTTAGGGGAAACCGTGTTGTTGCTTGAATTGATGGGTTGTTTGGTTCTCTGTTGGGCGAATTGAATTGCTGACTCCAGGTTTGGGAAGGTGATTTGTGTTTGGACATAATGTCGTCGAAATATCAGATTCTTGACAACCGGCCCATTCATCAGTGGAAGGTTACGGAGCTGAAAGAGGAGCTAAAGAGAAGGAAGCTAAGTATTAAAGGTTTGAAGGATGATTTGGTCAAGCGATTGGACGAAGCTGTTCGTCTTGAAAGGGAGGCTGCTGAGGCTTCCGAGAAGGATGAGGCCAATGGGTTTGAAGGTCATGTAGATGATGGGGCAAAAGATTCAGAGAAAGTTACTGTGAATGCTGAAGTGGTTGGTACAATTGATGGGCAAGGTGTGAAATCTTTTGAAACTGCTGGAAAGGGGAATAGTGGTGTAGCTGAACCAATTGAAACAGAAAACACAGGAAAGACTTCGGATGTTGTGGATAATGACGGCAGTAAGATTGACAAGCAGGATGGTGCTGCCGTCCAAGTTGACATTAATAATAGTTTGTCTGCTGTGGATCAAGAAGTTGAACATACGGGCTTGCCAGCCAGTGTTGATTCTACAAATGTGGGAGAGGAGGCAATTGCTCATGCTTCTACCATGGAGACCACCATTACAGTCACTGAGAAGGTACTAACAGAAGTAGTAGTCAGTGGTCAGGATTCTTCTAGTGCAGAAAAGAATAATGAGGATTCAGCAGCAAAGCTGGAGAATGTAGAGTCAAAGGTGCAGGTGGATAATGAGGACACAAAGCCCCAACTGGATTGTGAGATAAAGCCCCTGTGCGAGGATCTTGTGCCCGACTCTTCTGTTCCAGAAAACCAGGTATCTGAGGTCAACCCTAGTTTAGGGTCTCAAGTAAAATATGATTCTATTTCTACTGATTCTGTGTCAATTAATCAAAAGAATGAACTAAAGGATACTATAATTACTGATAATGTCAAATTAGAACAAGATATTGTTAAGCCAGAGATGGTGGAAGAACCATCATCCAGAAATGATGTACCTGTTTATGATGAATCACATTCAATGGATGTTGGAGGGCTGCATGAGAAAAAGGCATCTATTGAAGAAAATAACAATAATGTTTCAAGTCCAGACTTGAACAAGACCAATAGCAGTGATGATGTGTGGTATCCAGAAAAGTTGAACTTGGACAGAAGTTCTGGTGATGATTCCATGGAAGAGGATTTGCCTGAGACTAAGCAAATTGATTCTAAGTTTAATGTTGATCAACTTAGAGACAAAGTGGAGGGTATTGAAGAGCCTATTGTGAAGGAGGAAAGCAGTACTATAGTTGTGGGAGATGGTGGATATGCAGGAAGAAGTCATACCCACCAAGATCTTGACATGAGTCCTGCTGCCATGACTGCTGAGAAACGAAAATTTCATGGTAAGCCTCTTATTTTTCTGTCCTCTGAATGGACACTTTTTTAATGGTTGTTCTCCTATAAGGCAAGAAAGAAATTATGTGCACTATATGTTGCGCTGCTGGCCTGTTGTGTTATTTGTTTGTAGTTTATATACTTTCTTTGTGTATTCATTAATCACCCTGAATTATTTGGAATGTTTTGTTACAGAACAAGGATCAGTTGGGAACAATGAGCCTGCCAAAAGGCAACGCAGGTGGAACATTGAAACAGTTAAAGGTTCAGATCCACAAAGCACTACTCCCAGGCCTGCTAATACACCCAAGGATGAGCCAGTTGCTCTGAAACGCAACTTCTCTAGGTCTGATTCCTTTGCAACCGATGATGCACCTAAAGAACGTATTGGTGAGTTAACATTCTTCTGATTAGGGTTAATCTATGAAGCACCGATACTCCTATTTCTGGTAAAATGGTTTTGCATTAATGGATATCAAATTTCAATTCCTAGTTTGTAGATCAAATAAATTGCTGGCTATTCCAAATTTTTTTCCTGTACACTTCTCAAAGTACAAGTTGTGCACATTTTATACTCATGCATTTGTGGAGGTTTTTATTTGAAGATGGATAATCACTTGGTGGTTGATTTTAATGCTGTATGCATTTAATAAGTGAGACAAGGCTTGGTTGTTGGTTGCTGTTGTGTGCATTTACATAGGTGTATTTTTGTCTATGTTGTACAACTTGTTTTTTTTATGAATTACTCTGTTGTCATACTGGCATGGGTTCTGTGTCTTCTATTCAAAGTCTGAATGTTCTTTTTTTTTTTTTTTTAATCTTTGGCAGTTCCATCGTCACAAAGGTCCCCCACTAATTCCCTCAGGATTGATCGTTTCCTCCGTCCATTTACCCTAAAAGCAGTGCAAGAACTTCTTGGTAAGACTGGGAATGTCAACAATTTCTGGATGGACCAAATAAAGACTCATTGCTATGTCACTGTAAGACAATTCTTATCTCTCTGCCTCTGCAACTGTAAATTTCCATGTGACGTTATTGCTTTCGTCTTATGGTTCTAAGTAATGTTTTGTTGATTTCTTGGCGATATAGTACTCATCCATTGAAGAAGCCATTGAGACAAGAAATGCTGTGTATAATTTGCAATGGCCGCCAAATGGTGGGCGTCTCTTAGTTGCTGAGTTTGTTGACCCTGAAGAAGTGAAACTGAAATTAGAAGCTCCTCCCACTCAGGCTGCCTCTGTCAGCAATGTTCCAACAGTTCCTCCCACACCACCCTCCTCACAGCCAGAGCCTTCCCCCCGTCCACACAAGGAGCAGCATCCAGTTCCAGCTACTCTCCCACCTCCACCACCATTGTCAAAACCCCCACCACTTGCAAGAGACCGGCTTCCATCCCCACCGCCACTTCCTGAAAAAGTTGACCCACCTATTGTCACTCTGGATGATCTTTTCCGCAAAACCACGGCAACTCCTCGGATCTACTATTTACCTTTGTCTGAAGAGCAAGTTGCGGCTAAACTGGCGGCACAGGGTAAAAGCACGAGGCAGTAGGCAATTCTTCCCTGGCAGCTTTTACTGATTGTTATTTTTGGTCATCGTGCTGGTTAGTGGTATGGAAGTATTGCGAATGCATATTGGCAGGTCTGTTGGTGTTTGCCTTAGGAAGAAATTGTCATTGCCAATGCATCTTGAGACTTAAATTTATTTAGTTTTAGATCATGAACTAAGAGCTACATGGGTTGATAGATTTTGCCAAATGTTTGAACTAGGCTAAGTGAATCTTTACAAGAAACATCTTCAACTTTTATGAAAAAAATTGACATTAGATTATGTTTCTTGTTTGCCTTGGAACTGAATTGATGAATCGTGGGGCTAATGGTACTTTGCTTTTCCTTGATATTCGTTTTTTTTTGTTGGATATCAAAGCAATTTGTTTATGGGTTATATTTCACACGATAAGTTTTTACAAATTTTTTTCATCTCATCACTCTTTACCCTTTCAGTTTCTCGTAGTTGTAACTTAAGTTGTCCAATTTTTTTGGGTACAAATAGCATTTTTCTTTATTTACCATTCTTGACCTTCATGATTGGTATAAAAACATCAGAAGATACATGGTGCGAATAGATACATGGTTATATATACACTAACTAATATAGCTATGTTTGTTAGAAAATAAGACTATGTTAATGGACTTTTTAAGCTTAAACAAAATTAATATGATACAAAGTTAAATTATAATTTCTTACTGCATTTCGTGACCGAATGCAAGCCCATTGGAAAACAAGCCCATTGGAGCCTCTAACGTGCAGATGTCACCTTGCTCGTTTATAATATTGGTGAGAAGGAATGCAATCCACTATTTCAAAAGCTAAAGTGATTATTTGTTCACGTGACTTAATGCAGCTACACATTTTCAGTTTAACATCGTTGTCGAAATAAGGAGTTTGGAGTGTAAATGTGATTGACATTAATCATTTATCTAGATCTCTCACCATTTAATTACTTATCTATTGGTTCCTCTTCTACATATTTCTCAGAAGAGGTAATTCTACGTCTGATGAAGTCACTTTAGTGTAAATAGTTAGTGTTGGCAGTTGTATAACTGGTGATAGAAATTAAACTGATTTGATCTCCCTTGAAATTTATGAAACCTACTCAAATACCTTATGGTTTATTTTGTCAAGGGATTTGTGTCTCAAACAAATTTAAACGGAAGGGGATGCTTTGCCTTCATAAAACTCGAGAGGGTTTAATGTAATAATCTCCAATTTTTAAAGGAGAAGAAAAATGGTTTGCTTGGAGGATTACTTGGTGAAAGAATCGTCACACAATCCTAGAGTAAATATGGTTATGGTAGCATCCCACCAGTACCACACTCGCCTCATATGGCGGCACATCAGACACTGCAAATTACTCCACATCAATCGTATCAGTAACACAGCAAGCCCCAGCACCTCCTGGTTTTCGGTCACTTCAGCTACCTCCTAATCATCAGCATTCTATATGAACTCATATTGAAACAAGCGAATTTTGTAGATTTGGAATTTTATTTGTGTGCAAAGGCTACAATGGGAGGACTGGAGCTGGCATCTGTTGGAAGCAAGACTAGTAGATGTCCCAAGGATGTGAAAAGAAACTAACTTGCCCGAGATTCTGACTGAGTTACAAATTCACTCGACCACTAAATCTAAACAAGTTTGTCAGGAAACCTTTTAATATAATGCCCGTATAATAATTGGCTAATCAGATAATTCATCGATCTCATTCCTGCGAACAGATTGGCGATCTTAGGAGCCATTCAAACCAGCTGTGCGTTTCTGTCGCCACAGTTTCCACATTTTATATCAGGTATTCAGCCAAATAATTTTTTTTATTTGAAGTTATCACTTTTCCCCGATTCAAGTCGTAAGATAACCGAGGTCACGTCTCTTGGACTGGCTAGTATATTCTGGGGATAAGTCCTTTCAATATTTTATAGATGAAATAAGGCTCCAAGGAATTGGTCACTGCCTTTCTTTGCCTCTATAATATCGTTACAGGGCAGAGTGCCAATATATTAATGATTCTGTTTCATCCTGAAAAATCTTCCACATATATTGACTTCGTTACGGTTTGTGAACTGGAGGATTAGAAAAGTATAATAAAGAAACGCACAATTTTTCAAAAGCATATTGTTTTAGGACAGTGCCTGGAATTGACTTGTGCTTTTAACAACTGAAGGGGGCAGGGCGTTGTATGTCACACTCCATAAATAGGAAGCAACCTCAGACTGTTTTTTTAGTGGACGTGATTCGATCCTATCTTAAGAAGATTTGCGATGTACTCCCCAAACCTATGAGATGGAACATCATACATAAAAAGTCATTTTAATGTAAAGGAAAACCAACCAATGCAGAAAAATAGTTTATTCATGTTCAGACACAAAGTCAAGAAATAATATCCTGAGTTTGGCTGTTTATTGATTTACTTTTTAAATTGATCAATTTTCTTCGAAAGTTTGTTGACTAGAATATAGTGAACTGAATTAAATACGACAAGTCTCTCAACGATATCTCACTCCGAAGGTAAATTGGAATTCTTTGTAGGGTTCATGAACATACATACGAAAAGATGGATGCACCCAACTGTAGCTCAGCATTTCATTGCTTTCTTCAAAAGAAAGTCCCTAACAGAGAGTGGTAAATGGTACATGATAGCCATGATGGTAGAGTAATGGCCATAGGTGAACCATGCAGGTGGATTCTTCTTAAGGACCGCAGCTACAGTGTTTTTAGCAAACTCGTCTGTAGGGGTGGATTTGGACCTCTGAGAAAAATAAGCTCTGTCTCGGATTGCTGCTTCAAAAGGCTTGAACAAGTTCCATTCAGGCATGCGCTTGTAGCTGGCTATGGCAGAATTTCCAATATTTGACTTGATAGCTCCAGGGACGACATTCACAACATCAATTCCAAAATGTCCTAATTCCAATCTGCATATGACATATGCATGTTCAACATAAAAATTGTGTAAATAACAAAGCAACATTTTTTTTTTTATAAAAACAAGGTGGTTTTTTGTTGCCTCTAGTTCATTTGGGGCAGACATGAACCACAAGTCTTAGGGTGAAAAAGTATAAAACCTTAATGTATCTGTCAAAGCATGAATAGCAGCTTTAGAAGCAGTGTAAGCTCCTGACCAAGGTCCAGAGGCCAAGGCAGAAACACTACCAATGTTGACAATCTTTCCTTGCTTCCGAGATGCCATGTGAGGAGCAACAGCCTGAACCATTCTCAAGGAACCTGCGTATGCCCAAGGAAACGTAGAATTTCAGTGTAATTCTATTTTCCAAAATCACATTCAAGTATCTTCTATGTTGGCATAACATTCCAAAAGAGAAAGAAACCCTAATTGGCTCTCATTCATCAATAGAGACACCAAAATACCTCAACAAAGGGCAGGGAACTAGTCCTTGCAAACAAATTTAGGATACGTTTGCAAAACTCAATTAAGTGATTATTCAATAAAAAAATTTTATACAGTTATTTTATATCATAAATTTGACCATTAAAATTCAACTTATTCTGAGTATTCTCACGAGTTAAATTCAAATAGATCGGAAAGAGCTTTGTTATTTTCATAAGATCTTTTGAAGAGACCTTAATCTAACATGACAGATTAAACAACAACTTCTAAAATTGATAATTCACTATTCTCTATGTATAATTAATTTCTCTATCTATTGTCAATCCTCAATTAAGTATCAATCTTCGAAGCACACCAAAAAGAAGGAATTGAGAGTAACAATACGAACCGAAGACATTGGTGTCGAAGGTGTCTTGGATTGCAGAGAGAGGAAGTTCGGCGAGTGGACCAACGCACTGAACGCCGGCGTTATTGACGAGAACGTCGATGTGACCGTATTTGTCTACAACGGCATCGACCAGTCTGCGCACGCTCTCATCAGACTGAACATCCAACTCTTGCAAGAAGACTCTGTGGTCGTGTTCCAGCTCCGCCATGCTCCGCCGCGACCTGCTGGTGGCCACCACCTGGCACTTGTTCGCTGCGAAGGCGCGTGCAAGCGCGTCGCCTATTCCTCCTGAAGAGCATCCTGTGATGAGAACCACGGGTTTCGATTGCACGCGCTCATTGTAATCATCGTCGCAATGGTGGTTCTCCATAACGTCCAAAGAGAGAGAGAGAGAGAGAGAGAACGAGGCGATGGTTGGCGTGGCGGTTGCTACAAAACAGCAATTTGCTTTTATTATTATTATTATTATTATTATTTCACTTTTTCATGCAGGAAGATGGAAAAGAGATAATCATAAATAAAATAAAAGATGCGATTATAATTTAATTTCAAAAAAGAGAAATAAAAATAAATGCAAAAAATTATTTTAATACACATTTATAAAAAAATAAAATAAATTTTTTTTGAGAAAACGTTATTACACCTACAATATAAAGTAAGGACCCACCAAACAGTGAAAATAAAGCCAACTGTTATGTTTGTAACTTATTTTATTTTTCATTTTATTTTTATTGTTTTATCATACCATTCATTATATTTTTTACTTTTTTTTTCTTTTTTAATCATTTAATATTCGTTTAATTTAAAATTAAGTAAAAATATTTTTCAATCGTTCAATTATTTAAAAATATTTAAATAAATTATTAATAATACGTTTTTATTAGAATATATATTTTATATTAAAAAGTATAAAAATAACTTTTCAACTAAGTGCAAATTAATCATGCTGTAAAACTAGTCGTTTCTGATTCTGTTAGTCCAATCAATGAAATACCTACAACTAACTTTTGTCATTTATTGATTACCATGGGTAACACAATACATTAACATTTTTTAAATGTTTAAATTTAAATATATTATTAATTATCATAAATATAACAAATTTTATTTTTTTATCCATATACTTTTTGCTATTACTCAATCATTCACGAAATTTTATTATAATAAAAAAATATCAAATAAAATCTTCTTATGTTTTAATACGTTAAATTATTCTTAGACATTAAATATGAAACATTTTAATGATTTTCACGTTTTAAAACATGAAATATACTATCTTTATTTTTTCTTTAACACATTTTAATGTAAATTATTTTGAGAAATTATCACAATATTTTTATCGAACAGTTCCATTATTTTACAAATATTTTTATTTAAGAATTGTTTAAATAGGTTCAACTTTTCTATTTTCTTTATTTTTCTCTTTTTAGTATAATTATTTAAAAAAAATTATAGTTAGATCAACATTTGTATTTGAAACATTAGAATTTGTTTAATGAATAAAAATAAGAAAAAAATAGAGTAAATTTTTATTCTATTGTGTTTTTATTTTACGTTTATTTAACCGACATGTATTCTATAAACTTTTTTTTTTTCTAAACAAAGGGGCTAAAAGCCCAGGCATTATTCTATAACCTTTAAACCTTATCTTATAACCTTTTTTAGTAAAAAATAAATCTCATAGCACAAAATAAATTTCATAAACACCCAACGGTTGCTTAGCATTTCATAAATTTCTTGAAAATGAAGTCTCTAACAAAGAGTGGTAAATGGTACATGATAGCCATGAAGGTAGAGTAATGGCCATAGGAGAACCATGCAGGTGGATTCTTCTTAAGGATAGCAGATACAGTGGTTTTAGCAAATTCATCTGTTGGGGTCGATTTAGACCCCTGAGACAAACAAGCTCTCTCTTTGATTGCTGCTTCAAATGGCTTGAACAAGTTCCATTCAGGCATGAGGTTGTAGTTGGCCATGGCAGAATTTCCAATATTTGATTTGATAGCTCCAGGGACAACATTCACAACATCAATTCCAAAGTGTCCAAGTTCCAATCTGTGTATGATATTCTAAATAATTGGACCCCAAATTGTACATTGTTGCATTCTTTAAACTTTTGTACATAACAAAGTAACAATTTTTATAAAAGCAAAGTGAATCTCTGTTGCCCCTGGTTGTTTTGATGAAGGGGAAGAAGAAAAATACCTTAATGTATCTGTCAAAGCATGAAGAGCAGCTTTGGAAGCACTGTAAGTGCCTGACCAAGGAACAGAGGCCAAGCCAGCAACACTGCCAATATTTACAATCGTTCCCTGTTTCCTCTTTCCCATGTGAGGAACAGCAGCCTGAACCATTCTCATCGAACCTTCGTATGTCGAATCAAACATACAACATAGTTAAACAAACCACACTAAGTCCTTAGCTTGTGACCATTTTCTTTTTAACCAATCTATTTAAATAAGGAATTTGCAAAGAAAAAGAAGAAGGAGAGGAAACGAACCAAAGACGTTGGTATCAAAAGTGCTTTGGATGGCAGGGAGAGGAACCTCGGCGAGTGGACCCACGCACAGGACACCAGCGTTGTTGACCAACACGTCGATGCGACCGTATTTGTCTATAACAGCGTCAACGACCCTACGCACGCTTTCATCGGACTGAACATCAAGCTCTTGCAAAAACATGCGTTGGTCGTGTTCCAGCTCCGCCATGCTCGACAGCGACCTGCTTGTCGCTACCACCTTGCATTTGTTGTCTGCGAAGGCGCGTGCAAGCGCGTGCCCAATCCCTCCCGTTGAGCAACCTGTGATTAGAACCACAGGTTTGTGTTGCTCCTCGCTGTGCCTCTCCATAGCTTACCAACAATCACAACCAAATCAAACAAAATTCCAGATTATGAATCCATCTTTCCTAACCTACGTTCCTTATAAAGTACTCATGAATCATGATGAAAATTTCGTTTGAATTAATTTGAATATTTTATTGTGAATTTAAAAGTTAACTTCATTTAAATAAGATATAATATTAATTAAAACCATACTTTATATTACTCTTACAATGGACATTGTGGCACCTACCTTATATTTATTTTGCACGAGGCTGGTAACACTATGCCAGATCGTCTGCCTTTCATCTGAGAGAGAGAGAGAGAGAGAGAGAGAGATTTTCTCTGAAATCAAAAGTTACAATGTAAACAATTACACAATTGCTAAAATAAATACTGTAAAATTATGAATAAAAAAAAATGAAAGGTTAAACTAGTTATGAATCTTTATAAATATTGATTTATTTTAAATATTATAAATAATTTGCTTTAATCTTCATAAATTTTTAATATAACCTCTACTGTTAAGAATATAAATAAGTCAAGTTAAATATTTTAAATTTAAATATAAAAAAATAAAATATCTTCAATCATGATTCATTTATTTAAATTAAAAAAATTTAAAACTTGGATTTGATTTGATTAAAATTTGAAATTTTGAAATTTTGATATTTACTTATTAAATTATTAATATTTATTCATTTAATTATATATTTATTATAGACTTTGAATAAAATTTAAATATCTTTTATTTTAAAAAAGAAATTAAAATAATAATAAAATATAATTTATATACATAAAAATAATTTATTTAAAATGAAACACTTAAAATTGAAACTAGTATATAATAATAATAATAATAATAATTAAAGTTTAATTTTTTAAGCAAATATAATAAATAAAATTACATATAATTATATATATACTAGTTATTTTCAAATTATTAATGTTAAGCTTATAAAATTTAAATTTAAATTATTTAAATAATTAATATAAATATAAATTTATTTATTTAACTGAAAAGATTAATTTAAATAAGTATTTAGTAAATTAAATTTAAATAATTCATAAATAACTTAATTATACCCCTATAATCAAAGTAAAACTTATTATATCAATAACTATATTGAAATTGTGGGAAATGTAGCATGACTTTATACTAAATAATGACATTGAATTTTTTTTAAAATTAAAAAATATGAAAAATAATTAAAACTAAAACCATATGTTCCACCCATATTTTATAATTTCAATCTTGAGACCTTCATCTTTGAGCTTTGATATTTTGTTGCCTCTTGGTAATATTTTAAAAAATAAACTAAAAATCTTTCCTGTCAAGGCCACCAACTTTACTTGTTTTTAAGTTTTTGTCCTCTGGTGATCTTAAAAGGGGGGAAAAAATATACGTTACCTCTTTGATTTTATAATATATTTTCTTGTATTTGAGGTTAAAAAAAATTATATAAGATTTGATTGATATCTACGTCAAACACATATTTTTAATTTTTAATTAAATTAACATTTAAAATAATTGTTTAAACCAGTAACACTCTTAATTTATTTTGTAATGCTTGGGAAACAAAATCAGTTGTACATTTTTTTTGGGGACTTATAATCAGTAGTTCTTTAACTAAGTAAATATCAAACTCTAGGTGAATTTCATTTATAATACAAGGAGTTTAAATTTTAGACCAAAAATTCTAAAATCAACATTATCTTGTATAAAAATAAAATAAAATAAACTACATCTAATTATCACTTTTAGCTATAAAATTAATATGAAAATCATACCTATAAAGCTTTTAAGGAAAAAAAATTGAAGGTAAATCTTTTGTTACAAAATAGTATTATTGTTATTTTTATAAGTTAATTAAAATACACTTATATATATATATATATATAAGGTGTTTTATTATTTTTAAATAAAATCAAAATAGCAAGAAATGTAATTCCCATGCTCATTCAGAAATTTCTTTCCAGAAAATTTCAGCCTCATCTCCATCCAAAAATTTTTTTTCCAACGTCAAAGGGTTTAATAAATGGTTCCCGCAAAATTACCCAAATTCAAGTAAAAAATTGCCATATGGACCATCACACAGTGCATGCAAGGAAATATCTGCATGGTCATCTGAATGGTCCCAATCCTAAGTCATTAATCAAATTATTCATTTAAAATTAAATTTAAATACATTTTAAGTCCTATAAATATTTTTATTTTTTTGAAATTAATGTATGTATAAATTTATTAATTTTTAATATTTTGAAAAGTAAATAAATATTAATTAAAAGTTTTATTCATATTTTTCTCAATAAAAAATAAATTTTGTATCCTTTTAAATATTAGAGATTAATTATTAATGACATGTTTTATAGAAATAAATTTTAAAAATAAAAATATTTATTTTAATAAAAAATTTATTTAATTCTTAAATTATTATCTTTAACGGCTTTAAAAACGATTCACCATTTAAGAAGTGCACATATTAATGCACACTGTTCTTTTAATATATATCATTTTTAACTTTAAATGATGGATGACATACTCGCGAAAAAAATATATATTTTATTATTTATATTTAAATTATATATATTAATTATTTTAATTTTTAGTTAAATATATTTAATTCTAAAACAATATTAATTTTACTCATTTATTTATTATCTATATATAAGTATAAAATAAATATTATTTTATAAATTAAAAATTTATAAAATTAATAACTAACATAATAAATACTAAAACAATAATTTAATAGTAATAAACATAAAACACTAATATTTAAAAAGAGTACTGAAGGCCTATAGAAGAAAACAAGCTAAACATTAGTTGGTGAACATTTGATGTATATTTGATAGACTTTGCCAAAGATGGCTTGATAAAAGAAAGATCTACAAACTTTTAATCAATTAATAATTTTTCATCTATGCAATAAAACATCTACTATCTTAATAAAAAAAAAGAGTTACAAAAGCTATTCAAATTGTTAACGATAAAAAGAAATGTAATTATATTAATTTTATTATTTACTCAGTTACTTTTTTTTTTATCAAAATAATTAAAATAATATGTCTACCAATATTTACTCTTATTTCATTTATCAAAAACTGAAAATATCAATATAGCCATTTAAAAAAAAAAACATGGCTATATTGATATTAACTTATTTATTAATTGAAACAAAGAAATTTATTAACTTATTTCTATGTTAATAATTAAATTAATATTTATTTGTAATTATTATAAAAAATAATTTATATATTCAAATGTTTCAGGTCTTCAAATACATGTTCTTTCTATTTCATAAATTTTCATTTTTTTAACTACAATAAATTTTTAAATTAAAAATATAAAATATTATTCTTCCTCTAATATTTAATCTTATCTCTTTTAATACAATTTTTAAAAAAATTAACATAAATAAAGAGTCAAAAGGAAAAAAAACCTTATTAATTATATAAATGAGAAATAAATTCAAAAAGAAAATTTATTAACTTATGTGAATTTTAAGAATTAAAATTGACATTTATTATTTATTTTAGTAATTATAAAAATATACATATTAACTATATTCTATTTTATAAAGTTATTAATTAATGCTTATTATTTTCATTTGATAATTTCTATTTTATTATATTTGTTTTAAAGACACACGTTATTAAATTTGAAAAAAATTTATTGTTAATGATAAAATACCTGCTGTTTAATTTAAAAACTGAATTTGAATTAAAAAATATATGTGCAGTGCATGTACAGTAAAAAAATTAATTTATTTTAAATTATACACTGCACTTATAAAGTCATAATTAATTTGTCCATGTCATCATTATTTATTATTAATTTTATTTTTTTATAATTCAAAATATATAACCAAATGGTTGACTTAATTGAAAAAATATTGCTTTTTATAATATATGTTATTATTAACAAATTAGAATTAAATATTTTACTTTTTGTTAAGTAATAATAAAATATTAATTTTTAACATGTATTAAAAAATCATAACATTAAAAATTAATAAATAATTGTTTATTGTTAAAATATAATTTAATATTATTAATATATTACGTATATATATATATATATATATATTATTTTTTAATACAAATTTACTTTATGAAACTTTTTAATTATTCACCCTCAGTGTAAAAAACTGATTAATATTTTAGAAACATTTTCAAATAAACTCTTACCCAAATATTTTTTTTTTACCTAATAGAAAAACAAAATACTTGTTTGATTTATATATTAAAAATAAAAAATAGTAAGTTCATAAATAATTAATTGAGTAGAGCTTCGATCATGCGTTTACTTTTTGGCAGCATTGGAATAAGTTAAGCGTGATCATGAGCTGTCATACTAGTGTCGAGTTTTTGTTATTGGAAAAAATTAAAAAGAAGCAATTTGAGGACGCTTACATATCTTAGAATCGATTTCATTTGATATTTACCTGATATTAAAAAGTATATATATTACTAAATTGTATGTATCTTTCATGGGAGACAGTTCTCTTTAAGCAGTATAAAACTACTAAAAATATATATATACATCTAAGGTCATGCTAGCTATTTTCATGAAGTTTTGCAATATAATAAAGAAAAAAAGTTTGCAAAAACATGTATACAATAAAAAAGAAAAAAGTGTGAAATAAAATGATTGATATAATAAATATAGTACAAGAATAGTAATATACAAATTTTTTTATATATATATACCAAATACAATATTATATATGTTGTTTTCTTAAACATTAAAAGAAATCAAAAGACAGGAAAAAAAAACATGAATAAAGGTTCCTCATAATTTTTTAGAATGAACTTAAATTTAAAAATATGACTGATGATATTATATTTCACAATTCTAGTAACAAAATAGCAAACTTTAGGGCTAAAAGATGAAAACAACTTAAACTTAAAAATAAAATTGAAGACCAAAAAAGAAAAAGAAAAAGAAAAAAGACTCCTCATAATAAATTAATGAAAGAATTTGAATTTAAATACACAACAGGTGAAATCATATCCTACAGTTTT